TTGTCTGACATCTTTGCTACAAACTCGGGTCTTCAACTCGGGCCTTCAGTTGAAGCCCCGAGTCCGTGAATCTCTGCCTGTACGGCCGGAATGACAAAAAATATTTTTCGGCCTAATGACGAAATATACTATTTTGTCATTAGGCTCGAAAACCGCGATTTAGCCGAGCAAAGCGAGATAGTACATTACATGCCCGAGCCTTGAAAAACAAATCACCGCCCCCCCCTCCCCCGCCCCTGTGGAAGATTGCCTTCCGAGCCGAAGGCGAGGATGGTAAGCATGTGGGGGAGGGTGATATATTTTCCATGGACTGCTCATAAAAGGGTCGAGTGGCTCGAGGGGTTGGAAGGGAGCTTTGACCCTTGAGACCGTGGACCCATGTAATTACTTCGCTCGTCATTTGACCCGAGTGATCACACTTTTTCGTTAAAAAATGTCCGAGATCATGAGTATCTTATATGAAGTACATGAACTAAAATATTCCGGAGGCGATAAAGTGGGGAAAACAGATGGTTCTCGAGTACTCATGGGCGTGAGGTATCTTATCGAGAAGTATCTTATACAGAGTGTCGACTGCACCAAGGGAGACAAATAAAATATTCATGCAACAGATTACTAAGGATAATTTAATGTGATTGAACGAACCCCAATATAAAAGACATGTTTTTTATTTCCCTGCAAATCATTAGTCCTAATATCCCAAGTTATATTTTAACCCTAGATTGGTCACCTTATGAGGGAAACCCCGCCGGGAGTCGTTTTTCTTTAATTACAATTGACTGGCTAACCGGAAAAATTGAAAAAAATTGACTTTTTCAATTGAAGTATCTAAAAAATTATAGTAGTTTTTAGAACAATATAGTTTCGAAAATTCCTGAAGAAAACAAATTATTTCGGACAGATGAATTATTTTTTTCCATGTTCCTGGCCTGGCCATGGCCCGGTCAGGGGCCTTCCCATGGCTGTTCCATGGCTTTTCATGACGATTTGGGTTCATGGCTGCCTTCCAGGGCCGTCTTTCACGGCCACCTTTCATGGACATCTCCCATAGACGTCTTTCACGGCTACCTTTCATGGAAACCTCTCATGGACGGCCATGGAAGGCGGTCATGAACCCAAATCGCCATAAAAAACCATAGAACGGCCCTAGCCCCCCATGACCAGGGCCCCTGATGGCTATGGCCGGGCCATCGCGGCTTGCGTACGTGTGCCGATGACGCGACGTTGCCGGAAACTCGCTAAATGCGCCCGGGCAGTGTAGAGTGAATTCGGCAACGCTGCAGCCTAAATAACACGGCGACCAAAGTCGCAGGGTTGCGTTTGGTGATCACACCAGGGTTCAACACTCAACACAATCCACTGGATGACGCAAGTACTACGCAGTGATCACATTGTAACGATCAAATACCTGCACATTAGAACGACACCATGCCCGTTGTCAAACCCCACTTGGGACATCGCTCTATTCTCTGCTCGCCAGCTATGTCTCACGACATAACTCGGAGGATTCTCATAGCCATGAATATTCGGGCTAACTAGACGAAATACTCGGAAATGATGAATACTATAATACGCATATTTCATTATGCATCAACTGCCATTACCTCCTCGTGCATAAATGATGAATAATTGTGTCCAATGATCGATTCTTCTGAATGAATAACGAGAGCTGTAACGCCCTCATGAATACATTGATAACTATCGATCACATCAGACGAAACTGCTCACGAAAGAGTCAGTCCTTTAGACATCGTCACGGAACACATTGGCTTCAGAAACTTCAGACATGACCACGAGAAAACGTTTCTCCCTCAACGAATATTATTCCGACTTCAACCTGAAGTGGCTCGTATACTTCGGTACAGTATTCACTGTTAACTATTAATGATTTGCCCATAAGTCTCTCTCCGAAAATTGGAAAATAATGTTCACTTGTGAAGGCATGTGGAATCGACATGACGGTGACAGCAAAAAGTGGTTCTATTACAGCTGCTATTCCAGTGTAAGTATATTCGTCATATTTGTGGTGAGGACGATGGGTTGCGTGCATCGAGTCTGGTTGACCAAAGAAGATTTCATGGCGTGTACGATGTCTTCGTCGTTTGCTGCTGGATACCTCTGCACAATCATGAAGAACATCAATCTTATCATGAGGCGGTCGGATATTGTCTACATTTTAGAGACATTCAATTGGGAGAGGAATATTTCATGTCCACCCGAAATCGGTAGTCAATTTCTGTATTCTGCAGTACAGTCAACCCTTTCTATAAGATTACCCCCAAACATTTCTCGCCTCCCCAACGTTTGACTTTATGCACTTCTATAAGGATGGAATCATCATAGGGATACAATTTACCTTAAGGGCCAAATGATTTCAAGAATCAAACGTGAGAGACATGCGGAGTGATCTAAGGTCTCAAAGGTCAAAACTCCCTCTCAACCCTTCTAGCCATTTGACCCTCATGATCACTCTAGTTCTCTCCTGTTTGGCCCTGTAAGACTGTTTGACTCCAGTATTTCTATCATGTTTGTGTTCAAAAGAAAAAGGGAACTGAGACTCTATGAAATTATAATATCCAAACACGCAGTGAGTCATTAATCATCAATTTCAATTGATTAGAGGTCTAAATTTCATTGAATGAGTGCTCTCTACAAGTCTGCGCAGCGAGGGTAGAGTCTACCCGGTAGACTACTGCTATCCCCAAGGTATTTTATGTGATATCACTTCTGATATTACAGTAGAGTCTCCCTAACTTCTCTACTCTCCAACTTTCCAGCGACAGTGGGGAGAGTGTTCCCTTACTCTAAGCACCCCAAACGTGTGTGAGTGATATGCGTGTATCCCTCTGCGCTTGGTGAATGCGCAGTAAACAGTCTCTGCTCCCGAACGTTTTTCGTACTCCGTGTGTCCCATAACCACTCTCACTCTCACTCTACTTGAGCGACGCCCCTCTAGCGACAGAGTGTAGATGTCCGCAACCGCTCATTTCGTGGAATTTGTAGCCCCGACGTGGTGAAGTTAGGGAGACTCTAGGGGAGGGTGGGGTAAAATGGACACTTTAGATTTTTTTAAAATTATTCATAAGTCAGAAACAAATTTATCAATTGAGCTCAGTTTAGGCTCGTTACAAAGGGAAAGAATTGTTCTTTGTATTGAAAATAAAATTATTAAATTTTATCAACATTTCAACTCCTCATTAGCATTTTAAAAAAAGNGGGGGGGGGGGCGAGCGGCGAAGCTATCAGTCTATCCGTGTGTTTCTATCATACGAGGGTGTGTTCGAAAGAAAAAGGGAAATAAGACTCTATGAAATAATAGTATCCAAACACGTATTGAGTCTTCAATCACCAATTTTGATTGATTAGAGGCCAAAATATCATCGAATGGGTATCTTATATAAAATATTTGGTTTATATTTTTCTCCACTCTGCAAGTGTGCGTAGTGAGAGTGGACTACTGGTATCCCCGCGGTATCTTATATAAAGAATTGACTGTATAAGAAATGCGAGATTCCGCTGTATAACCAGTAGTTTACTACACATTATTCTAGTAAGCCATCGAAATAGGTGTGTAACGAGTGCCATGAAGACGACAAAAAAATTCACATTTATATGGGCGATCATCGTCACCCTCTACAACGTATTTTTCTTCTACTCTTCGTTGGTTGAGAACGGTTGGTCAATTGATTCTCTACCGATAAGGTAAGCCCCCCCCCCAGCCCCTCCGAGTCCCAACGAAATTGACGTTCGAAATAGCGACGACAAACGATTCAGTGATTTTCAGTGACACACCTTTGAGGAAAATAACGAGAGGTCATAATTTCTGGATCGTTCTCACACTTGACTTCATCACGTGGTCCGCATTCACTTACACCATTCTAGCACATGACAGTCTCTTCTTGAGCCTGATGATCCAGACTTCGGCACAATTGAATATTCTCAACTATCGGCTGAAAAATTGCGCCAATGATTATGCGGTGAGTAATGGAGAGGATAGACCAGAGGCAGCTGATGTAATCCAGTTCGACTGTCTCGAAATGAATATCAAGACTGAGAGTCTTGATCCTAATGAAGAACTGATCAAGTGCATCCGACATTATCAACAAATATTTCAGTGAGTCCAAGTTTTATGTCATTGTTGCGGTTCCCGGATGGTTGCTGCGACTTAGTCATATGTGACTTAGTCACATTAATTTTATTATTTTGGATTTTTGGGGTTCACATAACAGCGGCGTCCACGTCGCGAACCCTGGGTACAGTGGACTCTCCTTTATCCGCCGACTCCGTAATCTACGCTCACTCCCCTCGAGGCCTGTTGCCCCTCAAAAACTTTCCACCACTCCATATCTATCGTGCATCCTTCTCTTTGACGTCATGCGCTATGAAATGCGCAGTGGGTCACAAATGTCAACCACTGCCACAATCCCCCCCACTATTCCCGACCCTTTCCCTCTTCTAATGCTGCTGTAAACTGGATGAGTGGGGATGTTCCTTTATCTGCGTTTCACATGAAATGACGTGCGCTTAATATCACTGAGATTCAATGAATTTTAATGCATGAAAAATTATAAAACGCATTAAAAATTGAAGCTACACTATCCAGCTTTCGAATGGCGTTGGCGGAATGGGATTATCTGTCAGTTTTGGAATTATCCAGTTTTGCACAGAATCATGCCTTTTTGCTTGGGTCCATAATACGTATATGGACCCCGTCCTTAAGGGGTTAATTTGAAATATTGAATTTATAAACACGACCGTAATGGTTGGGTAAGTTAGGTGTTGCTGCCTTACTTTCCACTTGTTTACGCAGCCATTATGGCAAAGGTTGATTTGGTATTTTGAAAGTTTAAGTTAATATCATACTCTAATAATTACAAATGCGCATAAGATAATCCTTACGATGATTTGAAATTAAGGATGGCTTATAATGCTGAACATATTTCTTTCTCTGTATAATTGAGGGCCTTTTTTACGAAGTTGTTTATGCCTGTAATAATATTTTATACTGTGTTCTGATAATAAATAAAATTAAAAAAAAGTTAGGTGTTGCTCCGGCAGACATCCGAGTGCCGCTGCATTTAGCGCGGTTAGTACTTGGATGGGTGACGGCTTAGGAACACCCTCGCCCAAAAATTTTGGAAGGTAGGCACGGTGTAGTGGCCTAATGTGCCCCTCTAGTCAGTGTGACAGAAGGGCACATTAGAGCTCTGCACAATCGTTGAGAGTAAGACGGCCCATGGTAACGCAGATAAAAATCAGAAGAAAGGGCGAAGAAACTTCTTGAATCAATTCGACAAATCGTAATCAAGTCGAAGAATCATCTTAAATCAAGTTGGATCCGGCCTGAGTCAAATTAGAGTTGACGAACGAAATCAAATTCTACCTGAATCAAGAAAATTCTTCGACTTGATTCAAATCGATCTGGCGGGATGCGTCTCTAAGTAAGACGCATGACATCGTCGATTGCCGGCATCATTCAGATCGATTTTATTCAAACCAATTTTTCGACTTGACTCAGGGCGCTTTTTTAGTTATGAATTTTAAATGATACTTCACTTCAACAAAATTGGAAAATTTTAGTTGCTTGTTTCAGAATTGTCAAAACATTGCAAAGTGTTTTTGGTAGCATTCTCCTACCCCAATTGATTTCCAGCCTGACAATGATGTCTTTGATCGGATTCCACGTATTCGTGGTGAGAATTTCATATTCGAATTCTTTCAATTAATCGTAATTGTTGCACAATAATTGACATTGTCCTGTTGATGCACTCGTAAGGCAAAAACAATAGATTTGAGTAAGCCACCGAAAGCAATTTTTATCACCGTTTTCTTCGAGAGCCTCCTGTGCCAATTATTCGCCTTCTGTTGGAGTGGAGATTGCATTATCGAGGAGAGTGATAAAACCAGCATAGCACTGTATGAGTCATGTTGGTATCGAGGGAATCGTTCCTTTCGAACGAATGTCAAAGTGTTCTCTTCACTCGTGGAAAATCCCATGGTGGTCAGCGCTGTTGGTCTTTTTGATCTTTCTGTTATCACGTACAAGAACGTGAGTGTCTGATGTTTTCGATCATCTTCGTAGCGGAGAATTTAAGTGAAAGAATCACGGGATTTTGAGAAATTTTAACGAAGTTGATTGCATTCCCTTAAGAAGCAACGTTTCGCCAAATTATTTTTACTTCCTCAGGCTATATAAGAGGCAAAAACAAAGAGAGAAAGTACAGAAAAATTTCAACCCTTAAATCTGAAAATAATTGCTCAAAATCTTGAAAAAATCATACAGCCATAATAACAACTATACCATTTGACTAACGGGGATTATAGTTTTGTTTTTGTTAGATCTGAATGAATTTTTCGAGATTTTGTGCATTTTATTTTCAGATTTGGAAAGGTTGATTTTTTTCTGTATTCTGTTTGTTTGTTTTTCGCTCCTATAGAGATTGCGGAGATTAAAATAATTAATTTTATTTCTTTGACATTTTAATCAATGTCTTTATTTCTCCAAATCCCCTGTTTCCTTTCCACCTCAATGTGAGCAATTCTTAGAAGTATTATGCAGACCTTATTCATCTGTCAATATCAATATATTGTGGTACAGTCGAACCTGTCATAAGTTATACGAAATGGCATTCCAACCTCGGATAAGTTGTATCTCCAACGTCACTATATCGCTCGCTTCCCCTAGCTTCAAGCAAAGTAGGGGTGACCAATCAGATCCGCGTGCTAATTGCTGAACGACTCCGTACTCGGATGCCAACGTACCCTCTTTCTCTCCATTATTAAGTCTTTCGACAATTGTTATCTTCTCACTCCAAAGCAAACGACATTTTTTTACTTCGGACATTGTATTTTTTTTTTAATTATTGGACATGAAGTGAACTAATAATATCATGTACCAGTTTTTCCTGCTCTACGTGAAACTAACACATACAAGAATCATACTCACCCTACTCACCTATGGTGGAGCATACGCAACTAGTTTCAATCATTTCGGTGCAAGCGTGAAATGGACTCGTGGTGGGAGTTGTAATATAACTTATCTGAGGTGATTTAGTATAACTTATCACAGGTTATAACTTATGACAGGTCCGACTGTAATTGAGATTTATGAATTTCATATTCGTCCGCCCCTCGCTGAGTTCTAGGTGGCGGCACCATACTCATTGCCTATGGGAATCCCCCATGAAACTCAATCATACAATTAGCCAATAGTACATTAGAGTACAAGGGCACAAATGTCGTTTTCGACGAATGTGAAGTTTACAGTCTGTATTCACATTCGTTGAAAACGAAGTTTATGCCCGAGTGGTCTATACTATTTTATGCCACATCGTGCAGAAGTCGAGTTTGAAGATAAACTCGACTTATTGCACGGCGTGCCATAAATAAGTTCTGTCCCACCTGAAGATGGTTTCATCGGGGAAGCCCAATGGGGGATCAACTTCAGGTGGGACGGAACTTATTTGGCCGATTGTATTTCACTGAGTTCAGCATCAGTTACAGAAATGTTGGATTATTTCAGTGATTAATCATTTTCTATTCTCCCGCAGATAATAATCAAGTCATACTCCGCAATGACCGTCTTGAAGAAAGCTTACAAGTAAAAGGAAATTTTATGTACTGAATATATCGTGTGCAATCAATGTTGGATGGTGGTGTAATGCGCAAAGTTTATGTTGCCACGTTGAAAATGACTCACATAGCGCAATCGTGGTAGGAAGATATCAGCACAGATGCATCCACGACCGCGTGATGAATCGCATAATGACATACACCGTGAACGCATGGATGCATAATTTTTTTACTATAACTACAGAGATTTGCAGAGGGTAAGCCTCTCATTTTAGAGTTATTCAGTTGTGAATGACATTTACAATAATAAATTATGGAAATCGTCCAACAGAAAAATGAATATATATATACATGAATAATGAATATATGCCCGTGGAGCAGTTCACAAACTTATCAAGAAATTCTGCCAGATTGGAATTAATATTGCAATGCCCATTGGACCAATTTGTGACATTTGGAGATGAGAATAACTGTATTGAATACTGTAACTGCTCGTGAGGAGCCCTTCAATGCAGTAATGCGTTATAAGAAAGGCCAGGTGCACACGCAACTACCACACAATGATGAAGAGAAATGGAAATTCTTTAATAAAATCCCATTTAGGAGTTGTGACGTAATTATCCAATTTGTGAAATCTTTTTGATAATTTTCATTGAATAAATGAAATAATAAAATTGGGAAATTTGTGACCTATTGAGTTTTTTTAAGTCTATACGGACCATTTTAATAATGACTTCATGAAAATAAAATGTATGAAATATACCTATTCATCAATAGTGTGATGGATTATTATACCCTATTGATTTATTGAGATTGAAGTTGTCCTGCACTAATTGTCAGAAGAAGTGATGTTCATATCGTTGAATGGTTCAGGGGCTCTATTGATCACAACCATTCAATTCATCCCACTTTGATCAGAATAAATCCTCTAGAAGCAGGCACTTCGATCTCAAGTTTGGAAGAAAAAACATCTCATTGGAAGCGTAAGTCGTGAGCATTAATGATCACTGATAAATTATATTTCTTACAAAATAGTCATTATGACATTCCTCTTTTCTATTAATTTAGCATTTACACTGTTGCAATATCCCCCCAGTGAATCAACTTGGTATTGATACTCTCATTAAATTTAAATTTCCGCTACTGGCGCCCAGCGTTGGGCATCTACGTTGGGCATTTACGTAATAAATGTAAAAAATGTAAAAAACCAGCCGACGTTATCTTTTATCGTAAACCGTGAAGCTTCGCGAAGATTATACCTCGCAAGGGTGATAAACTACGAGGGTCTCACCTCGTAATCGAGGATTTTAATCACTCGAGTCAGGAAATAGTTTTATCGCCGTGTAGCATACAACATTTTATGTCTCTGGGCCCGAAAACCGCGATTTAACCGAGGAAATCGATGTTAGAATCGCAGTTTTACGATCCTAGGGACATAAAATGATATTTTATGCCTCAAGTACCGAGAACCGTGTTCTACCCGAACAAAGTGAAATTAAAATTCGCTGTTTATCTGTCCTCGGGCCATAATATACTATTTTTTATGTGTCCAATACTGCGTCTTCGTCACTCGGAATAAAATAAAACATTCTAGTAATCGAAAATTGCAAGCTTTTCGAAGGAATATAAAAAATGTAAAAAATCCCTCGAGGTAATTTACGTCAACACATGAAAACTGTTCGATTGGCAGCACTGTACGAGTTCTAGTAGTTCCTAGGATATTGATAACCAATGGCGACAAGGAGTTTTTCTGAGAAAGAAATAAATTTGAAGAGTAACCGCGTTGACAGATTATTCTAAACTTGAATTTTATATTTCGACTCTATCGGCATAGCAAGTTGATTTGGTTTGATTGTTATAAATAAGTACAATTTCGATACATATTTAATTGCCTTCCAGATTATGATGTGTTATACTCGCTCTATTTTCCAATATCATTATTTACGCTATCATTATTTCTCAACTACCTTACAGTACTTATTCCTTCTTATTTTCTCAAATTTTTTTTTATTCTCCGATTTTTCCATATTCAACTCATTTAGAATGCCGTGAGTTTTCAAATATACTTAAAAAAGACATAAGAATAAATAAATAGATAATAATTACAAATAAATAATAAATTATTTGTTTATAAAATATAAAAATATAAATCGACTTCTGGTGATGAAAATTTGGTACTCGAAATTAAGAGTCCAGAATTGAGGATCAGAAATGAAGAGTCAGAAACTAAGGGTTCACAAGGGTCAGAATAAGGGTCTTGGGGGTCATATGAGGGTTGGCTAGTGGAGCGAGCAGAGGGTGTAGTCCCCTAGTTTATTTATCTCTCTATATTATAAAAATCCAAATCGACTTGTGGCGATAAAAATTTGGTACCCGAAATTAAGACTCCACAGTTAAGGCTCACAAGGGTCAAAATAATGGTCATGTGGGTCAGAATAAGGGTCAGAATTATTTATTTATAAAATATAAAAATCTAAATCGACTTCTGGTGATGAAGATTTGGTACTCGAAATTAAGACTCCAGAATTAAGGGTCAGAAATGAAGAGTCAGAAACTAAGGGTTCACAAGGGTCAGAATAAGGGTCTTGGGGGTCATATGAGAGTTGGCGAGTGGAGCGCGCAGAGGGTGTAGTCCCCTAGTTTATTTATCTCTCTATATTATAAAAATCCAAATCGACTTGTGGCGATAGAAATTTGGTACTCGAAATTAAGACTCCACAGTTAAGGCTCACAAGGGTCAAAATAATGGTCTTGAGGGTCAGAGTAAGGGTCAGAATAAGGGTCACGAGGGTCAGATAAAGGGTAACAGCGGACGGATCAAAGTAAGGGTCACGAGGGTCACATTAAGGTTTACAGCGGACAGATTGAGGCTCATGAGGGTCAGATTAAGGGTCACAAGGCTTAGAATAAGGGTCAGGTTAAGGGCCACGAGGGATATAATGAGGGTCACAAAGGTCAGAATAAGGATGATGGGGGTCATATATGGGTTGGTGAGTGCCGCGAGCAGGGGACGTAGTCCCCTAGTAAATAAATAAATTTTCAACATAAAATGAAAGATGTGTTCACGTAAAAAAATTCATACAATTTTTCTATTATTGAAAACAAGAAAAAAATTCATGAAATATGCATTTTTCAACATTTTCAATGGTAATCGACGCTTTTCATGCGAGAAATAAATAATTTAAATTTTTGCGCATATCCCCACTCTCAATAGCAGATACCTAGGGACCCTAGTCCTAGAATTATCATCCCGATCCTTGGTGAAAAAAAATATGGAGATGCAGTCAACGGCGAGCCATCATGGCGCACGGATTGTTGTCAAAACTTTCCCCAAATTTCAATGTTTAATCCTCTCGTAATAAATGAAATAAAAATCACCATTGATTCTTCCAAAAAAATGTGTTAGCCTCTCTCAATACAGAATTTACGTTCAGACTCACTGGGATAAATTAGTAACCTCAATCCTCCAAGAAATAGTGAAATATATTGGGTTCGTGCTCCTCGTGGGAATAAATTGTGAGTTCGAGTGAAATTGTTGTTGTTTTTATTTTTTTTTCATGACAAATTAAATACGTGACATCATGGTGAGGCTGACTGAGGAAATGGTTGTGGCCAGGTCACGAATTTCCGATCTCACTGCTGTGAAAAAACTCAATTGCTGGTGAGTATTTTCGTTTTTTTCATCAATTATTTACAGTTTTGTTTGGGGGAATTTTATGCAGCTGTTCTGGGGTTTTGGAGGATGCCTTTTATTTCTTGGAGGAGACGTAAACAATTTCTTGAATTTCTTTTAATTTTTTTTTAATTGGGCAGCAGAGACATTTCGAACCATCAGAAGACATTTTAATACAAAATTTAAATTAAAAAATATTTGAGTAGCTAAAGAACATCAAAAAATTAAAATCCATCTCCTCAAATAATGCATGAAAAAATTCAAGCGCTGGTGAGATTTTTTTTCATGACTTATTTTGTTTGTCTGAGGTAATTTGGAGTTTTGGAGAATTCCTTTTGTGTCTGAAAGTAAATGTAAATCATTTCATGAAGGAAATTTCTACCAAGTTTCAGATAAAGTTTGTTTTATTAAGTTTGTCTGTTTTTGTTTTGTGAAATAATTATGATAATTCCTGTGTGACAATAATCAGATATACACATGTTTATTTTCTGAGGATTTCCCAGCACTTGAACAGTTTTTCAATACTCTCCTTGCAAAAGCCAAAGAAAATTTAAAAAAATTAGACTCCATCTCCTCAAATAATTGATGATAGATTCAAGGGCAGGTGATTTTTTTTCATGAATCATTTACAGTTTGGGGGAATTTTATTCAGTCATTCTGGAGTTCTGGGGGATGCCTTTCTGCTCTTGAAGAATACATCAATAATTTCATGAAGGATTTTTCTTGCAAGTTTTGCATAAAATTCATTTTATTAATTTTTTTATTTTTTAATCTGTGAAGTAATTAGAAATAATTTTCATATGAAAATGGTCAGAGGAACACAATTTTATTTTTTAAGGATGTCCCAGCACTTGAACAATTTTTTAATTCTCTTAAATTTCTTTCAACTTTTTTTTCCATTTCGACGCCAGAAACATTTTGAACTATTCGACAATTTCATAAAAAAAGTTTTTAAAATGTTTTGAACAAAATGCATTTTCAAATATTTTGGGTTTCTTGTAAATTATTCATAAATAATTTTTGTGTGAAAATGATTAAATAGAGTCTCTGTCACTTGAACATTTTTTTATTAAACAAAATTTTTATTTTTATTTTTCCTTTCATCTTATTTTTATTTGACCATTAGAGACATTTTGAAACCTTCGAAAGCATTTTAAATGATTTGAAAGTTACTGTTATTCAAAATTAAGACCCTTCTTTGATAAATAATTGACAAACAATGAAGTTTTTACCCTAAAAATAATTTAAATTCATTAGAAAAATTGTTACATAATTGTCGTCTCCATGAAATTTATATTTTTCGACGCGAATAAGTGCATCAACTATTCATGAACTTCAGTTCATGCTGAAAATGATTGAAACATTTTAAAATTATCTTTCAAAAAAATTAGTTGTTTCCGATTTTTTTTAATTCATTAATTCATTCATTAATATTGTCAACAGGGGATCAGAGTTGACTGACGTCAGTATCCTCCGAGAATTGAAAAAAGTGGAGGTGCTCTCATTGAGGTGAGCTGAAAAAAAATCTAAAACAAATAAAAAGAATCATTGTGAATGCCCAGAATGGTAGTGTTCACTGTGAAATATTCCCATGGTCGCATCGTCCTACACAATTCCTTTTTTTTCCTTCATGGCCCAAGAAGTTGTTCCGCCCACGTGGGAACTCACGGGACATTGTGTACAGGTATAGGAATTCAATTCCACGCAACTTCCCTCTTCTCATCTCTTCATTAAAACTGGAATGAAAATTCCTGAATAATCCTTAATTAACGACAATTCAGTATTCTTTCGTTACGATAATTGACACACTTAACATTAACTTGAAATATGAATTTTTAATGAATGTCATTGAATAAATAATCATTCTTTCAATTATTACTTATCAATATTGATATGTAAAGTAGAATTTTTTTGCATTTTCCAAATTTTTCTGGATGAAAAATTTTGTTTACGAGAACTAAACGATTTTTTGTTGATTTTTCTTGTCGAATGGATTTGATTAAATAATTGTGATTATTCTGTTAGTTATTATGGGAATGCTGTTGCAGTTGAAACACCTTATTTGACTTTCTACTTCAATTTTAAGTTTAATTCACAACAAATCGAGGAATGATGACTTTCACTTTGGATTCGCTCTGTAAATTCAACCATTTATATCCCTGGAAGAGAGAAATATTGTGATGATTAGGTGAGGAAACCTGTTTAAATAGTCATTACATGGATTTCTTTATGTTAATTTTTGCAGTGTCAATAATATCAGCAGCCTAGCGGATTTTCAGTACTGCTTGAATTTGAAGGATCTGTTCGTGAGGAAGAATAATATTACTGACTTGAACGAGATATGTTATCTTCAAAATTTGCCAAATTTGAGGAATCTGTGGCTGGGGGAGAATCCGTGTGCAGAAAGAGATGGGTAAGGATGACGATTTTTTTTCTAAAAATACAGAAGTAATAGCAAACTCGATGGCCCAAGCCTTCGTTCCATCTCTCTCCAATTTATTCATGGACTGCATGAATTGGAATCGAGTTATTAGTCTCTCGTTTGTAAAATCTTGTCAATGTATTTACATTAAATTTTTTATTTTACACAGGAAATTAAACAACATCTGTTATCTGTCAATTCAGCTCATTGATTTAATTATCATTATCCTAACGGACGTCTCAGGCATTCATCAAATAAGTTTTATGATTTTCAAACAAAAACAATCTCATGTAAAAGTTTTTGGTGGAAATAATTATTCGATAATAATTAATCATGTCAACAGAATTACGATTCGAAAAACCTAGAAACGTTTTTGGATTGACAAACAATTCGAGAAATAGAGACGAAACTAGTTGATCAAGTAAACAGAGCAATTATTTACCCCTCGGGTACCAGATAATCTCTGAAATGAATCAACAGAAAATTTTCTTCGGTATCAAATATATATTTGTTCATAGTTTAATATTCTGAGTCACTCGGATAATTTCCCAACAAAATTCTCGTTGGATTTAAATAATTGTCTCCACTAAATAATTTCCTAGAACTCACAACCATTTTTTTCAACTTCAAACACTAAAAGAATTAATTTCCTCTCATCACCAACATTTTCTAGAACAAAAAAACTTATTACACAACTCATGAAGCCCCTCTCCCCCCAATACTCCAGTGCACTTCTCTCAATTTCAATTTAAAAACAAATCAATTGTCTACAAATTATACGACCAAGTGCTCTTTCCTGACTGAATATACCTCATCTCCTTGCCCTCCTCCCTTACCGGTATGCAATTCTCACTGTTAACCCGCCTGAACTCCCTCCCCCCCAAAATCCCCCCAATTCTCCGACAAACTCAGGTCTTTCCTCCTAGCTCCACCCCGACCCCTGCCCTCTCTCTCAGTCCCCTTGAGCCCTTCAATCCTCCCCTCCAGTGACCCCCCATCTCCGAAATACTTTGGACTGGGGTCAATCGACACATTCTTACCCCCCCTGCCTCTGACTACACCCCCCAACCCCCGAAAAATCCCAGAAGAACTCCTCTGACGATCGCAAGAACTCTCAAACGGTATCAAGGTGTCCAGCGAGTCTTAAAATTGTGGGCTTGGTGATCTGGCATGAATTTTTCCTGAACTCTGAGGTGAAAATCTCATCTCTGTACCCCTGAAATACAACATCACCCATCAATACAAAAAAACATCCTCCGAAATTCCCCCTTCCCCCCAAAAAAATCACCATTTCCCAAAATAAAAAAATCACCCCTCTCAAAAATCAGAGATATTTACATTTTCCTGATGGAAAAGATGTCCGCCGATCCCCTGATGCCGTGGGGACGGCGTCAGATGCATCAGTCCTCCAGCTCATCCATCCGGTTTCTCACCACCATCTCCACCACCTCCAGGGAGGGATAATCCAACTCCTCAGCCCTTTGATTATTATATCGATAAAAGATTCAATCATCATAAATACGATAATTCTTGATGTCTAAAATTTATCAAAGCACTTTTCCCGTTTCTAATTTCTCAAGAATACAACACTTCACCCCTCAGATACCCATCAGAAGTAATCATTGAATCAAAATTAATTATCTAATTCATCATTTTTCAGGTATCGTATGGCAGTCATAAGGGCCCTGCCAAACCTAGAGAAGCTAGATGACAAATTTGTAACTGCTGAGGAGTTGAATACGGCCTTATCCAGGGGAAAAATTCTCGTACATCCTCTTGAGATGGACGCCTCACCCCCTCAATCAGCCCTAGCAAGTCCTGAGGTATAAGAGACTATTTTTTGATACTACAAAATTTCTTTGCATGAATTTTCGCCATCAAATCTCTCGTATTTTTTATTCATTACAAATTAAATAAATTAATCGATTATTTAATTCAATTAACATGCCCTTCCATTTCAATTTATGGAGTTGGTTTCGTGTGAGTCATCTTCTAATTTGATTATTTAACAATTTTCGTGTTATTAACAAAAAATAATCAGGAAACAGCTGAGTTCATTGAGGAAGCTGAGCCTGAACCCAACAGGAGATACAGTTCATCGAGTGATCAAGTGAGAATTTGCTTTCTATTGTCAATTCATAACAACAGGTATTTTTTATTATTTCATTTGCGTTATTAATGTTTTTTCATTATTATTCAACAGAGAAGTTATGAGGAAACGCACGGCCACGATGAATACACCGACAGGAGGAATGCTAATTACAATGCATCATCTCCAAATCAGTACTCACAAAATAATCATTATAATTATGAGGTACAGCATCATGAAAACGGTTATAATTCTATAAGATCAACGATAAAGTTTTTGAATTTTCTTTCTTTGCAGTTTTAATGACTTTTCTCTCATTTTCTATTTATTTTTAACTATCGATGGTTTTCTTTATCTTTTCATGATTTTCTAATGATTCATTGATTGACTTAATAGTAAAGAATATTTACAAAATTATTTTAAAAACAGCCGAACTGAATTTCCAACATAAAAATCATGAAGTCATCGTTAAATTCAGCTCAATTAAAGAGAAGTAGTTCATCGAAAAATAATTTGTAAAATTCTCTGCATTTTTCTGGGTTATTTAATAACTAATTTTATTCCAAACATTAATTTTTAATTATTAATTGCCACTAACAGACTCAGAATGGCCAAACGAAGGCATCTACTCGTGATGAGGGACTGAGAATGGAGTCCAGGAATGGGGAGAATTTGCCCACTAACACTATTGAGCTTGGGAAGGTATTAATCCATTGATCCACTAATTGATTCCCACTCATTTTAAAAAAACAATTAGAAATGACTCTCGTATTCATTTAATTGAAATGGATTTCTTCTTGGCCTTGAATCGTTCACGAAGGCGTGAACAATTTAATTTCATTACTCATTCTCATTAATAATCAAATCACATCAATATCAGATGCAGATTAATTTCAATGACATATTTGTTTCACTGGGGAAATATAGAATTTTATACCTGAAAAAATGTCGTTACGTGATGAAAATTACTGTCTTTATGCCAACAACTGGAGCATGAGATTTTAACAACTATTGTGCGTTGTTATCGCTTATCTTTCTGCCTTTTTATGTCATGAAGATGAGAATCATAGAGATGAAATTCCGTTTCTAATTTTATTTAATTGTTGGATTGGGATATAAGAACGAAACGTTTTTATGAAAATTTTTCGCACTGAAAATGAACGGAGGGACTTGAGTTCATTTGAATAGACATTGTTAGTAGAGGATTGTCCGAAAAATTTGAGCATTAAGTCCCGGGTGGATTATCTTTCGAAAATTATCTCGATTGTTTTTCCATCTTCATAATGAAAAATATATCACAATTTCCATTGGATTCTACATCACGCAGGAGTCCCTAAAAATTATGATTGTACAATTAAAAAAAAGTAGAAAAAAAACTGAACATTTTCAAAAAGCGTTTTTAATGAAGATTAAAAAATAAGGGTTTTAAGAAATAAGTCCGATACAGAGGAAATTGTATCTGACAGCCATTGATTACTGTGACAAATGACGACCTAGCAGCCATTAGATACATCAAATTATTAATTTGCAATTTCCTCCCTAGTGGGTTTATTTCCCAATATTATTCAAAAACGCTCCTTGAAAATGTCCAGCTTTTTTTCAATGTTTTTTTCATTGTACAATCATAATTTTTGGAGACTCCAGGGCTAGGTAAAACTAAATAGCAATTGGAGATCATTTCAGATTTTAAAAATAAAAAAAACAACCACTCGAAAAATAATTCATCCGGGCCTTAATATAAAAATCATAAGAGTTGTGATTAAATCTCAGTAATAACGTTTAATCCTCCAGGAGTACGACGACAGACCAGTGCTATCTCGTCACAATGGTGACTATGACGATCGTCGCTACGAGTACCCTCTCCCCCAGGAGGCGCCCTCACGAGGTTGCCAAGCCCCCACGTCCCCTCGATCAAGCTATCCAACAGTGGAGTACGTCGACGAGAGGAGATCATCAAGCTACGACTACGATGATGATCCCAATGCACCGCACCCCCTCGCCACCTCTCAGCCATCCACCGCTCGACGACAATACTCATCCCACCAGAATCTCGAGAGGGAGGAGAGCAGAGAGATGCCAGGATGGGTCAGACACTCCGACAAGGAAAAATGCAGATACCATTATCATCGACGACCCGTCACCAGAAATTCCAATATTCTTTCGGCGGTTTTGTGCCTCGTTAAGGAGCTGGATTATCCCTCCCTGGAGGTGGTGGAGATGGCGGTGAGGAACAGGATGGATGAGCTGGAGGAATGATGCATCTGACGCCGTCCCCACGGCATCAGGGGATCGGCGGACATCTTTTCCATCAGGAAAATGTAAATATCTCTGAGTTTTGGGAGGGGTGATTTTTTTATCTTGGGAAATGGTGTTTTTTTGGGGGGGAAGGGGGAATTTCGGAGGATGTTTTTTTGTATTGATGGGTGATGTTGTATTTCAGGGGTACAGAGATGAGATTTTCACCTCAGAGTTCAGGAAAAATTCATGCCAGATCACCAAGTCCACAATTTTCAGACTCGCTGGACACCTTGATACCGTTTGAGAGTTCTTGCGATCTTCAGAGGAGTTCTTCTGGGATTTTTCGGGGGTTGGGGGGTGTAGTTAGAGGCAGGGGGGGTAAGAATGTGTCGATTGACCCCAGTCCGAAGTATTTCGGTGATGGGGGGTCACTGGAGGGGAGGATTGAAGGGCTCAAGGGGAGTGAGAGAGAGGGCAGGGGTCGGGGTGGAGCTAGGAGAAAAGAACTGAGTTTGTCGGAGAATTGGGGGGATTTCGGGGGGAGGGAAGTCAGGAGGGTTAACAGTGAGGATTGCATACCGGTGAGAGAGGGGGGCAAGGAGATGAGGTATATTCAGTCAGGGAAGGGCACTTGGTCGTACAATTTGTAGACAATTGATTTCTTTTTAAATTGAAATTGAGAGAAGTGCAATGGAGTATTGGGGGGAGAGGGGCTTCGGGGGTTGTGTAATAAGTTTTTTTCTTCTGGAAAATGTTGGTGATGATAGGAAATTGATTCTTTTAGTGTTTGAAGTTGAAAAAAACGGTTTTGGGTTCATGGAAATTGTTTGGTGGAGATCATTGTTTAAATCTAACGAGAATTTTGTTGGAAAATTATCCGAGTGACTCAGAATATTAAACTATGAACAAATATATATTTGACGCCGAAGTAAATTCTTTGTTGATTCATTTCAGAGATTATCTGATATTCGTGGGGCAAATTAATTGCTCTGTTTACAAAGCAATAATGAATTTCTTGATCAATTAGTTTCGTCACTATTTCTTGGATTGTTTGTAAATCCAAAAATGTTTCTAGATTATTCGAATTTTAATCCTGTTGATATGATTAGTTATCATTGAATAATTATTTACACCCAAAAACTTCCACATGAGATTGTTTTTGTTTGTAAATTATATAACTTATTTGATAAATACCTGGGACGTCCGTTAGGGTAATGATAATTAAATAAATTAGATAATTTGAGAGATGATAATACTATTGTATTATTCACTGTGTAAAATATAGAGTTCAATCTAAATTCATTGACAAGAGTTTGAGAACAAGATAACTATTAATTCGATTACAACTCACAATCGTGAGCTTACTCAATGAATAAATTGGAGACAGATGGAACAAATGCTTAGATTAATAGCCTAATTAATTAATAAATTGTCTTTTTACCCCGAATATGCAAATAAATACAGAATTTTGTTAATCAATAATTGTGTTGTTATTCAGATATTAATCAGTAATCTTTCATCTTCAGGTATTATTTACATGAAATTTATTCTTCACATTTCAACAGAAACAAATTACTCTAGAAATGAGGACAATAAAAAAATCGGTGGCAACGTCTTGACGTAATTTCCATCGTGAAGAAGAGCCTCAGAGCCATAATAAGCTGGAAATGAAGTTTGAAAAAAATTAATCAGATATTTAGAATTAAATTACAATCTCTTTACATCGAAATTAACACAAAACTATCAAATGAAATTAAATAAATTAAAACATTACAATTTGTTCATAAATCAAAAGCAAAAAGACTCACTTAAAAAAAATCAAATGAATTCAATCCCCTAATTAATTCGAAACTAGAATTTTTTCATTAATGAAAAGTTTAAAAAAGTTTTTTCTTCGGTCTGAGACCTCCAAAAAATTATGTACTCACTTCATGAGTGTCAGTGGTGGTAGTCCAGGGTCAGCTCCCTTCTTGAACCCTAAAAAACATCACAGGAGAATTAAAAATCGATAAAATACAAAAATCCGAGTGTCAGTGTTTTTTCGTTTCCAAACAACGGGAATTAAAAACATGAACTAACCTAAATAGAGAACTGTGGGCATGAATCCCCAGTGAAAAATAGTCTTCGTGACCTCCAGGACGACTGCGACCTTCTGCTTGGTGGCTGGACTCAATGCCATGACGATTCAACACTCGAATCCTCTCGTTTTTGCAAATAAAAATTGACGCAAATGCACGTGCGAATAATTCTTTTCGTCTCAAAATTTTTTTCACGAGATAATTTCACGAAAAATCCGCTTGGAGGCGCTGTATAATTTCTCCAGGTTCAGCTGTGCCGAAAAATTAGGTTGGAAAGTCGCTTATATCTACCTCTCATCAGGGGGAAATATTTTCAACGAGTATGAAAAAAGAGTGACAGAATGTCTGTTAATGCAATTGGTCACATATTACGACGTCTAAAAATTTCTCGTGGAGGTAATAACGATGTATTTTGAATATTCTGATCACTTCTGTTAATTGTTCACTTGTCTTACAAGAACAGCATAACCTATTCTACTAACGAGAGGAGCGCAATTATTATTGTCACCTGTACCTAATTATAATCGAATGGCACAACATTTTTTTTCACGGGAAGTGCAGCCTCTCCTCTCAACTGAATAAATTCATTTCGAATGACGTACAGCTCAGTCTCCGTACAAGATTCTAGGACTGAATCCATGCCAAGTTAGACCCCCACTTTCTGGCTTGAATGTTTCTCGTTTCGCATTCTCTGTACAAGATACTCGACAAAGGGGCTCGTTGAGTGGGAATGGAGTTGAGATATTGAGCAAATTACTGGAAATATATGCATCTATGATCTAGAACTTAATTGCACATCAATTGAAGTTTATAAAAAAAAATCAGTAGCGAAGTCGTTAAACGATACAAGTCAATTTTGACTATTGACGAGTTTTCAATGAATATCTCGGAATATAAGGCAGAGAGCAGAATTGTTGTTATAAGCTTTTTGTAGAGCCGATTGAGTGCCACAACAAATGTAATTATGAAAATTTCGCTATCTCCTTTAGATTCGAATATATTCCTCAAAAACTCAACTGGGAGATGAGTCGAGTTAAACCGTTTTAAAACTTGAGAAAATATGAAATTTTTACACATATTGCACCATGTGTTTTACGTCCATTTTTTCGATGGATAGATAGACAAAACAAAACAAAATTCCACCCAATTTTTATGAAACCCAAAATTCCAATGAAAGTCTCAATTTTGCCTCGCCGACCCTGTTGACAAACTAACTTATTCCGAATTTCTAAATTATTATTTTGAAAGGAACAATACCTTCTAATCAAACATTCGTGTTTCACATCAGGAATCGTACTCAAATGATCATAAAAACAGAGATTGTCTAGTATCTGGTACGAAGAATATCAAATCAAAATAGTTTCCCCTCTGAGCGCAAGTCAAGTGGGGGATACGTAATTCTCGGAATTTTATTCCCCTGCAGTCCCCGTGGTATCTTGTACGAAGGTTGAACTGTACACTGTACCCTGGAGTCGGTCAGAAAATTTGGGAAAATATAAATTTTTTTTACACGTATTGCACCATGTGTTTTACCTTCATTTTTTGGATGGACATATAAACAAAACAAAACAAAATTCCACCCAATTTTTATGAAACCCAAAATTCCAATGAAAGTCTCAATTTTGCCTCGCCGACCCTGTTGACAAACTAACTTATTCCGAATTTCTAAATTATTATTTTGAAAGGAACAATACCTTCTAATCAAACATTCGTGTTTCACATCAGGAATCGTACTCAAATGATCATAAAAACAGAGATCGTCTAGTATCTGGTATGAAGAATATCAAATCAAAATATTTTCCCCTCTGAGCGCAAGTCAAGTGGGGGATACGTAATTCTCGGAATTTTATTCCCCTGCAGTCCCTGTGGTATCTTGTACGAAGGTTGAACTCTACACAAAAAAAAATCAAGTGCCGCTTTCAAATTCATGTCCAGTTCTTTTTTCTCTTCAGGAATTACTGCGTTGAACTACACGACATCATGTGCCGCTCAAAACCCCCCTGGGGAGACGATTCCCCCCCTCGACATGAAGTATTTCTCATTCACTCCAAATCTCCGATCCCCCCTGAGTCCCCACCTTAAGACCTTAGAGTTTCCCCTCCAGGGGAGTTTCCCCTGGAAGATAATAGAAACCCCTCCAAGACCCACGTACACCATAACGGACCTGCCGAAGACCCGAATCATCCCATTAACAGACAAAATTCCCGACAATTCCCTGGAGATGCCCTCGGAACACATAATCGAGAAGCAAGCAGCTCGACTGATCGTCATCAGACGCCGCAAGATGCGTCGTCATAAGCTCAGAAAGCTCCGCAAGAGGATGAAGTTCATCCGGAGGAAGTGGAGGCAGAGGAGAGAGCTGAAGAAGGAAAAGGCATTTCAGGCTGAACTGATAGCCCAGATAAAGGAGGCTGAGTCGTTCGACGCCAGGGGCTACGTTGATTCGAGATTGCAAATCCTCGATAACGTGAGAATACCGAGCAAATGGCGAGGGGAAGTCCTTCCCGAGAATATGATTAGACAATTTTTGAAGGAAAAAGAGGAGAGGAGATGGAAAAAACTGAATCGTCCAAAAATTACTCTCGATTGAATTCTGGCGATTATGTATGAAAGATTATGTTAGAGAAACGAATGAATAAAAAAAATGGTAAAAAGGTAAATGTACCTATGCTCGTCTTTGTTTCTGTGCTCGTTCAGATGCCGCCAGCTATCATATTTTAATCGTTTTGAGGGTTCCAAGAGTCTATTAAGAGTCAAGTACGATTGGAGTTATTATTTTAGTTACGGCTCGGGTGGATTATCTTTCGAACGTGATCTTGGTTGTTTTTTTTTATATTGGTGATCTGAAATGATCTCCAATTGCGATTCAGTTTTACATAGCCCTGCAGTCTCCAAAAATTATGATTGTGCAATCAAAAAAACGTTGAGAAAAATCTGAACATTTTCAAAGAGCGTTTTTGAATAATATTGAGAAATAAAGCCAATAGGGAGGAAATTGCAAATTAATAATTTGATGTATCTAATGGGTGTTAGGTCGCCATTTGTCACTGTAGTCAATGGGTGTCAGATCGTTAGTTACCATGATAAATTATCCATTCGCTGTTTCCTCTCTATTGGACTTATTTCTTAATCTTTATTAAAAATGCTCCTTGAAAATGTTCAGTTTTTTTTCTATTTTTTTTGACTGTACAATTATAATTTTTAGGGACTTCTGCGTGATGTAAAATCCAATGGAAATTGTGATATATTTTACATTATGAAGATGGAAAAACACTCGAGATAACGTTCGAAAGGTAATCCACCCGCGCCTTAAGGATGTTTATGCAAAATCGCAAGTACTTGAAAAAAATTTGCTTTTTTTAAAACTGAGAGATGAAGATATTCCCTTCATTTTGATACAAATTTCAATCCACCAACGCATGTACATTATTCATAAATGAAATAGACAATTTTAAGTCACGGAATACTATCAATTTACGAATTTGGTCATGTTGACCCATTCAAGATTTGCAAATTTCGTAGAATTCATTTTAATTTCATCACTGTGTGGGGTTCAATTCTTAAGGATGTTTATCCAAAATCGCATATATTTAAAAAAAAAAGATTTTTTTTTAAAGTGAGGGATAAAGATATTTCCTTCACTTTGATACAAATTTCAATCCATCAACGCATGTACATTGTTTAGAAATGAAATAGACAAAATGCACCAAATGCATGCGCTAACATGCGCTTATATGGGATAGATTCATTCAAATATTTCCTCTTTTTGCCCGGCTACCCCAGATTTTTCTCTGACCATGGAATTCAGTATAGTTTACACATTACCTTCCATTTTTATTTCTATTTTTAGAGTCTTCTAAGTAGGTGAATTATCAATTCAGTAGCGAAGCGGTAAACCGGGTCAAGTCGATTTTGACTATTGGCCAGTTTTCTACGAATATCTCGAAATCTAAAAGGGATAAAAAAATTTTTGTCATGACCTTTTTTGTAGAGCTAATCTCGGGTTATAAAAAAGCTCATGAGAAAAATTCGGCTATCTCTCTTAGATTCCGAGATATTAATAAAAAATTGCTCAAAATTGAAAATCGACTCAACGCGGTTTACCACTCCGCTACTGAATTTGAACATAAATTTCATAAGAGCCCATGTATAAGGAAAAATTAATTTATTCATTTCTGCCGAGACTATTGCGATTATTTTTTTTTAACGTTAGAAAAGTTAGTTTTATATGTTCTGCTGTCAGCCGACAAAATTACAGAATATTTCTTGACTATGAGAAAAACACATTTACTGACATTGGCTAAATATCCTGAAATCTTCTCCCAATATAATCCTTTCAATGTTTTTAAATTTAACTGACGTGTTCGAGGGAGTTTTCTTCGATAGAATCTCTTCCCCTTGATTCCTCCTGGGGAAGAAATTCTCGAAGAAGAGATAATTCTCACATGTTGAAAAAAGTGTACTTTATCATTGATCATTTGAAATAAACCCGTGACCCCACGCTTTCCCGCGTCATCCGTAACCCCTTCAGTCTGTCAAAACAACGCGACAATCCACTTGCTCCCTCGAATCATCCAAACAATGAGTGGACTAAAGGGCTCTCTTGCTAGACTCGTCGTTGTGAGATAACAATGAACCCTATTGGAACCGGAATTTTTATATTTCAAAGTCAAGTGAGAAATAACTCTATTTTTCCAATATTTTATTGACTCATAACCTCACTCCCCCCTCCACGAACAGCATAACAATAAATCGTTTTGAATTATAATATTGACAAGTGGTGAATTGCATTCTTTCAAGTTAAATTCAAGCTATTACAAAGTTTCCATTCGGAAGCAAAAAAAAAATTGAATTTTCGTCATATCTGCACAGAAAGTTCGACTTTCCTCCCCAAATGACGAGAGGGAAGCGACTCATTTCATTCCTCGGATGTCTGTATTCTTTTCGATGATCCTCGGAATGACATAGGTAACCCACGTTCCTTCCTGCATTTACGAGGAAAAATCGAACTAGGGAAGGGTGGTGTAAAATGGACACGTTAGACTTTTTTAAAATTATTCATAACTCAGAAATAAATTTATCAATTGACCTCAGTTTAGGCTCATCACAAAGGGAAATAATTGTACTTTTTATTACAAAGAAATTATTACATTTTATCAACATTTCAACCCCTCATTGACATTTAAGGATGTTCTACACCCTTTTTGCCAAAATTCACGTTTTTTTAATTTTTCTGGCAAACTTAGGATGGAATTGACGTGAAAGAATATAACGTTTTTGCGTTTTGTCATTATTTAATGACTGACGAAATTTTAAGGTGGTGCGAACATTTTCCTGCGTTTTCTCTAAACTTTCAAAAAGAATCACAAAACTGTAGAAAAAACGCATGAAAATTATCGCACCACTACGCAACTTCGTGAGCCATTAAAGAATGACAAACCACAAAATCGTTATATTTTTTCACGTCACTCCCATCGATAATTTGCCAGAAAAATGAAAACAACGTCAATTTTGGCTAAAAGGGTGTCGAACATCCTTAAAAAAAGTCAAAAGTGTCCGTTTTACACCAACCTCCCTGAGGAGATTGTGCCCCTCAGAGTGACCCCCACTTTACTCATTCCTACTCACATCATTGTCTCCCACTTCTGAAAACCAGACACAATCTCCTCAGTCTGACCGTACAGTTATGACGAAAAATAGTATGTGCACCTAGGAAGCAAAACAAGACATTCAAACCCGCGTGTTTACCGCCCTCGGCTTCGTCTCTGACAGTAATCCACACGCGGGTTGGAATATCCTGTTTTCCCCTCTTGGTGGACAATGTACTATTCCCTCTACACTGAGAGGAAAAATTAGCTCTGCCGAAAAGATAAATGTTCACCTGTACAAAATTTTGTTGTCTCAAGATTATTATTCCCCACGAGAAAATATTCTGGAGCGAAAAATTTATTCTTTCCACTTGAAAATCTGATAGTGGCATATGAAAACATTCTTTCGAGTAGAATGCCAGGATTCAAATATCATGATAAATAATAATCTGTTTGACTGTAAACCAAAAAATTTTCCCCGAAACAGAAGTTTGAGCTGACAGAAAAACCATCCTTCCAGCAAAAATACGACTGTATAATCTCTACTGCGACTTTCTCTATTATTTCCAATATTACTCATTTGTTTCCCCGCCATTGATAGTTATTGAGTGAGAAATCAAAGTCCAGTTCTGAGGTCACAAACGGATATGTTTGAGAAGATCAAACCTCTGATCCACAGAAAATTTCAAAACCTTTTACGAAGCTTTTTTGTAATCAGCGAAATAGTGTACTTCTTTTCCGCTTGACTTGTGTACGTGAAAAAGAACAGATTTTGAGGCGACAAATTATTTATCTATTTACATCAAACTATACGTTGACTCCACGTATCTTATATTATTAGACGAAGTTACCTCGATATTTTTGAGCGGAATAAATATATTTTCGGCAGAGATAATTTTTTCTCTCAGTGTAAAAAAACGCGCAGTAGAGCTACGGAATTCTTCAACAGAAACTCTCAAAAACTAATGCAATTTTCATTAAAAATCCAACTCAATTTCCTATCGTATTCGCTCGGTTTGAGCCAAATTCTTTGTACGTGCTCCCCTCAACGTAAAAACTCATGTCAAAATCGCCTGTATTGTCCTTAGGGAATAGTGTCCTAGAACCTAATAAATCGCTCGAATCAATCGCACGATGAGTACCTCAATCCTCCGGGAGGCGAACAAAACCCCCTCGCGGCGGAAACGAAGGTTCCCCACGGAGGACCACAAGCTCTCCTGCGTGAAACGCATGGAGAACGAGTCGACCTCCAGGCTCGCTAAAGAGATGGGAGTGGCGCCCTCCACCCTCAGGGAGTGGAGAAAAGAGTACATATCCTCTGGGAAGCTCCCCTCCCCACTCTCCCGGCAAAAAAAGCCCCGAGCCCCTAAAAAACCTCATTCGCCCCTCCAAAGACCCCATGCGCCCCTCCAAAGACCCCATGCGCCCCTCCGAAGGCCCCATCCCTCCCTCCAGAGGCCCAAAAAGGCCCCAAGGCCCTCCCCCACCCCCGAGCCCCCACCACTCGACACGGAATCTTCAAAAAAAATGGAGCTCATGTCGAAAATTGGGCTGAATCCCGCAAAACCTCTGGAATCCCTTAGAATCCCTCCAATATCCTCCCCAAGTCCTCAGGGGCCTCTGGGCCCTCCAAAATTATCCAACGAAATTCCCTCCCCCTCTCATCCTGACCTGGACGAGGCAGTCTTTTGTTGGTTCGAGAGGAACAGACATCAAGGCCTCTTCATCTCCTGCGCTAGACTGAAATCAGAAGCAACTTCCCTCAACAAACAACTGTCCCCCATCTCGAATTTCACAGCTACTGAGCAATGGCTGAGCTGCTGGAAGGCTCGGTATGGAATTCGCTACCTTCCAGAGACCCTGGAGAAGGTGACGACGGACAAGATGGGGGAGAAAGAGTTCAGGATCGAGGTGAATCGAGTTCTCAGGGACGGGGACTTGAGGAAGTGCCAGGTTTTCAATTGTTGCGAGGTCTCCTGGAGCTGGAAGAACCTTCCGAGGAGGTCGCCGGCGGGGACGGGTAGTCTGGAGCATTCTACTGGGGATTATGTGACGGTTATGGGGTTCTGCAATGCTGATTTCTCCCTGAAACTACCTCTGGTGGTACTCCGGAGACCTGGAAATGTTCAGGTTCTGGAGAATAAGAATAACCTGCCGCTGTACTCGATCGAGAGGAATGAACCCTGGATGTTCTCCAGTGTTTTAGGGAACTGGTTCGTGACAATTTTCGTTGCTTTAATTTTTATGATTTTGTGGTTATCTGTTTTGTTTTATGCATTCCTCTCGCTCGTTGACTCTTTCGGTTTGAAAATATTTTATCCACATTCTTCCCATTCAGGGAGTATAATTCAACGAGTTCTGGATGATATGAGGAGAATGAATAATTTGTAAGAGGGTTCGAAAATCCGAGGTGGCTGTCGGGTATGGGTGCCGCCATTTTGCGAGCTTGGGAGGTAGTCAAGCAAAATGGCGACGGCCGGAATACAATCACTTCGTGTTTTCAAACTTTCTTTAAAATTATTTATCCTCTTCAAATCACCTGCAATTTGTTACAAAACACTGCCAGGATGGGAACAATATTGATCTGATAATTGTCGTTCCTTTCAGGGATCGCCATCAACATTAAATTTCTGTAATATATTACAAGAATTTGACCCTTACATTAATAATTAATAGCTTAATTAATTAATAGGCTTAAATATGTTGACCTAATTTTTCAAATAATATAATATTAATAATCTGATTTTATTCGAATAATGATGTATTTAAAATTTTGAAATATGAAACTGTAAATTTACCACTAAGTGAATAATTCAAATTTCTTAAAAGGGGGATTTTTGATCACATAAATAATCATCAATCTTCCTACCTCACTTATTGATTGATAAAATAGTTAAAAATTGGATTATTTGAATTGATAATACTTGAGTACTCAAAAAATTTAAGAGCGATGTTAACTAATTGATGGCTACAATATTTAACGGTAATTAAATATTAGGAATTTGGCTATTCCTGGTTCCTTTCAGGTTCAGAAAAGACTTCGTCCCTGTTGTGACAAAATTCTTAGAAGAGAGACAACTGCCTCCAAAAGCCATTCTCATCGTCGATGACACTCGGTTCCTCCCCACGAACCTGTGGTTCGGTGACTTCAAGATCGTCTTCCTCCCCAGGAACTCCACCTGTCTGATGAGACCGTTTTACCAAAAATTAGAGAACATCAAAACCCACTGTAAAAAGACGTTGATCCTCTCCCTTGCACTTCACATGGACTGTGACAAGTCCAAGGGAGTCCGAAGGCATCTGCAAGGGAGCATAACGATTGTGAACCTCTTGAACTGGATTTACACCGCGTGGGAGAATAACAAGGGTGAGAAACCCAGACAAGTCCTGGAGTCGTTGAAGAGCATCGACGGCTTCAAGGACTTCACGGTGGAGGAGTTGAACGAGTGGCTGAGGGACTCCGAGGAGGACGAGGTGGCTGGAGTACTCGAGGGAGAGGAAGCTGTGGAGATTGTACAGACACCCGACATGACTGCCTACGGGGACGAGGAAGGGGCGAGTAATGGGGAAGTTATCACACCGAGTGACGCCGTGAGATACCTGGATTGTGTCATCGAGTTTTTCTGTCACTGCAGAAACCTCTCAGAGACTGATCTCGCTGCGTTGAGACTTGCTAGGGAAACTGCGAATAACATTAGTGTTTGAAGTGATTGGGTGAGGGGGATTCCGGGAGTAGAAGAAAAAATAGTGAAATACGGGAAAAACATAAAAAACATTAATTCTGAGTGAAAAGGGAACACAACAGAATATGACGCGTTTTCTGTTGGAACGGGACTTTTTGACGACGAATTTTGTTGCGAAACTTCAATATATTTCGAAAAAAAAAAACATTTTCATAGGGGGAGTGGGGCAAGATGAAACAGTCAAAAATGACTGACGCAATTCAAGCAAAAATTTTTTTTGTTAAATACGTTTTTTATCAACTTTTGTTTATTAATTTTGTCTTATTTTTGAGAGTACTAATGAGAATAATTTTCTATTCAGTAGAATGAAAAATTATTGAGAAGGTTTGACGGGAGAAGATTTTGTCAATGAATTAATCGGAAACAAAATGAAACAGCAAAATCGAAAGTCCAGAGGAAGGCCCAGAGGGGGAAAAAGGAAAATGGGATGCTGAATTTCAATTGAATGAAAAAAGAACAGTGTAATCGGCCTAATCTAATCAATTGAATTATAATTAACTGAATTACAAGACGAATAGAAAATTATTATTCTCATCAGTAGTCCCAATAATGAAAAAAGTTGATAAACAAAATTTAATTGACAAAAAAAATTGCTTGAATTGCGTCAAACAGTCATTTTTCAACTGTTTCATTTTGCCCCACTCTCCCCTATTTTACTGGTAACTCATGGACACAATTGGTTAAAAGTTTCAACAAAATATTGCCTTAATTTTTTTCTCCATGAAATTCATTTTTTTTTACATTCAGCCAACACAACAGATGACAATATTTTAAGTCACGGAATACTATCAATTCACGAATTTATTCACGCTGACCCATTCAAGATTTGCAAATTTCGTAGAATTCATTTTAATTTCATCACCGTGTGGGGTTGAATTCTTAAGGTTTATCCAAAATCGCAAGTACTTAAAAAAAATTGATTTTTTTTAAGCTGAGAGATGAAGATATTCCCTTCACTTTGATACAAATTTCAATCCACCAACGCATGTTCATTATTTAGAAATGAAATAGACAAAATGCACCAAATGCATGCGCTAACATGCGCTTATATGGGATAGATTCATTCAAATATTTCCTCTTTTTGCCCGGGTACCCCAGATTTTTCTCTGGCCATCGCATTCAGAATGATTTTACACATTATCTTCTATTTTTATTTCTATTTTTAGAGTCTTCTAGTAGGTGAATTATCAATTTGAACATAAATTTCATAAGAGCCCGTGTATCAGAAAAAATTAGTTTATTCATTTCTGCCGCACTATTGCAATTAATTTTTTGTTAACGTTAGGAAAGTGAGTTTTATATGTTCTGCTGTCAGCCGAAAAAATTACAGAATTTTCCTTGACCATGAAAAAAACACATTTACCGACAATTTACCGACATTGGCTAAACATCCTCAAAGAAATTTGTTCATATGCGCCAAAAGAACGGCGTCAAAAAGTAACGTACCGATTTTCTTTTACTCCTCAGGCCCCCCAGTCCGGACGCAAATGGTCATTACTTCTTTTTAATTAAATTATGAATCAAGACTCACAAGTGCAATTATCTTCCCCAAATAAAGATTTATTATTTCTTCATCAGCCCACGTCTCCATGAATTATAAAAAAACGTACCAAAATCCAAAGAACAGGGATTAAACCACTGTAACCAAATTACAAACTCCCGATTGCATTGAACCTCTTGAGTTTCTCGGGGAAGACATCCTTGAACAGGACCGGATCGGCCCTGAACTCCACCGACTTGAGGGGCATGGTATGATAGATCCTACTGAACCTGTTGATACACTGAGTTCTCTCCGCCATATGAGCCAGATCAGCCGAGAGCATCTCGGTGTTGGTGCACTCAGGACACCGGAACTTCTTCTTCGGCGTGACCTTGATGGGTGCCTTCCCAGTGACATTAGCCACCAGAAAGTTCATAGCGATGTCTTCACAGTTCATGTGCTCGTCCACCCAGGATTTTATGCCCCCTGGCATTGACGTGGTGTACAGATAGCTCCAGTATTTGTGATGAAAGGCTGCCCCAGTCAGAACCATCGAGATCCTGTTGGTCCACTCGCTCTCGTACTTCCAGAGGTTCGTGGTGTTGTCCCAGGTGTGCGTCCTTGATGGGAAGCCAACAATCCTGTCCGGAAATTCCCTCCAGACTTCGTAAGCAAACTCGACTTCGTCCGACGTCAGCATGATGATGTCGTCGTCAATTGATAGAATAGCCTCTGTCTCGATCTCCTCGTAAGGGTAGAATCTGTTCGACAGCTTGTTCTCCTTCGTCTTGATGACCTGCAGGGGCTTGTTCAGCTTGGGCCATCTGGAGGGAGGTGGTGGGTCCTTCCTCTGGTTGTTCCAGATGACGAGGACCTTCGACAGACTGGGCACCTGGACGATTTTATTTATCAAGGAGAACAGCAGCTCCACTCGGTCGTACGTCAGGATTACAGCTGTGAAGCCGTGGGTCTTCGGCGCTGTTATCGGGAGGAAGAGCGGGGTCTTGCTGACTTCTGGAACGTTCCAGTAGTTGTAGTCCCTGGAGAGGTGGGGGAATACACGGTCCGAGAGGATCTCCAGAAGGGTGGAGGTGATTCTCTCCATGGACTTGAAGTATGTTCTCCATAGCCAGTTGCATTGGCGTCGCAACTCTTCGACGCGCTTTGGCGAAATTGCCTGCAGGGTTGATACTAACGTCCGGATGTCCACTTCTCGGATGAAGACTGCCGCTCGTCGCCAGTCGATCACCTGAATTCATATTGGAGTAGAATCGTCACTAAAATTAGCAAATATTAAGGGGAAACTACTAGGAGTTTTCAATGTCGCGGGTTATTGGAATGAGATTTCTCAGACATTGAAGATCGATTATGTATGTCTAAAAATGAATAATTAGTGCAAAGAAACGAATTGTTTATTGTTCGTTTACCCCGCAAACGCTTAAAATGTTAAAAATAGTCAAGAGGCTCTAATTTTCGAACTATAAAGGTTTTTTTTCAAAAATTTTCGAAAAATATGTGCAATAACAACTACGAATTAATTTTCTGAAATTCAACTCCTACAGAGCTAATTTCGTTGTTACTTTAATCAAAAATTGCACCATTCATGTAAAATAACCCGAAAAATATTTCTGAACGAATGGAGAATATATTTTCAATATTTTAAGGATAATTTTTCTGCCTAGTTTACATGAATGGTGCAAATTTTTATATTAAGGGCCGGGTGGATTACAAAAAAAAATTATGATTGTACAATAAAAAAAATGTTGAAAAAAAGCTGAACATTTTCAAAGAGCTTTTTGAATAATATTGGGAAATAAACCCAATAGGGAGGAAATAGCAAATTAATAATTTGATGTATCCATTCACTATTTCCTCTCCATCGGACTTATTTCTTAATCTTTATTAAAAACGCGCTTCGACAATGTTCAGTTTTTTTTCCTTCTTTTTATGATTGTACAATCATAATTGTTAAGGAGTCCTGCGTGATCCAATGGAAATTGTGATATATTTTACATTATGAAGATGGAAAAACAATCGACATAACGTTCGAAAGATAATCCACTCGGGCCTTAAACAAAACGAAATTAGCTATGTAGGATTCGAATTTCAAAAAACCAATTCGTAATTGTTATTGTACATATTTTTTCAAAAATTTTGAATAAAAAATATCTAGCTAAACAATTCCAGTCCCCGGACTATTTTTAACATTTTAAGCGTCTGTGTGGCAAACGAACAACAAACAATTAATTTTTTTGCACCGATTGTTTGCTTTTAGACATGTATAATCGATCTTCAATGCATGAGAAATCTCACTCCAATATTCCACGACTTTTAAAACTCGCAGTAATCTACCCTTAAGGGAAAACGGAACCCCTGTGTCTATATGAACTTTTAGAATTGTGTTTTCTCCCGCAACTATTATTATTTATTTACGAAACTACTTCGTTGACTCAATAATACAGTGATCGAGTCAATAATTTCGCAGATAGAAATTAATAATTGTAGGAGAAAACACAATTCTAAAACTTAAAACTTTTAGAATTGTGTTTTCTCCTACAATTTAGACTAAAAGTTAATATAAACACAGGGGTTCCCTTTCACTTTAAGGGGCAATGGAACTTACCATCGGAGTAGAAATTTGATTCCAAGTTTTTTCGTCCTCAGACGACTATTTCGTAAAACTCAAATTCTTACATCGTCAATATTCTTGGTATCTATAGTGAAAGAATTTGGGTTTTGCTGACTAGTCATCTGACGACGAAGAAACTTGGAATCCAGTTTCGACTTCGATAATAAGTTTCATTGCCTCTTAAAAGAAAGCCGCCATGTGCTGGCTCCAAATGGCTGTTTTCAAATTTTATTTGAAAAATGTTTACGCAAAGAAATACATGCTTCCTCCCAGTTTTGCACACGTAATGTGAAATTCGCAAGATCCATCTTCATCCAAGAATTTTCTTCAGAATTTTTCAACTTTTCATTGGAAAGAAAAAAAAACTTGTTGATGTGCAACAGTTATTTCCTTTCCAAGTCGCGACATCGAATTACATTATATTAATCCGATAAAATTTTTCGTCTCCGATTTTTATTCTTTGCTATTTGTTTAATGCATTCTATCAAAATGTGAGGGTAGAAATTGAATTGATGGGTATTCTTTCACTATTTGAAAGAATATATCAATTTTAAAACTTTCCGGAGACATTGAAAAATCGAAATTTTTATTTTCTTGCTGATCACCTCTCCCTGCATTTTTCTCATTTCCTCTCAATGAAATCAGATCATGAAAACGAACAATTTCATTTTCATGATCTGATTTCATTGAGAGGAATTATTATATTATACTGATATTATTTAACATAAAGAGATATTTATCTCTCCATTTGAAAATGAGAAAAACTGTTCCCACAATTTGTGTACTACAATGGGAATAGAATCCAATAAATTTAATTTAATCTAACCGCAAAGAAAAATTGGAAAGAAAACAATAAAATAAATTAATATAATATAATACAATCTAGCGACGGACTTCGCCCCGTTCGCTCGTTAAAATTAACTCCGAACTCTCGCCACCTGAATGTGAACATTGCCAGGCACTGGCGCAATTTCAAACCATTCCGAATTACCTCAGTAAACGGCATCACCACGGAATCCGAGACAATAACCGGAATGCACCCGGATGCCAGTGCATCCATCAGCACACTCTGCCCCAGTCTGGCCCCCCTGATGACCAGACAAAAGTTGGACGTCTGCAAGATATCCGGGTACTTGTAAACCTTCTCCCCCAGACACCTGATTTTCGAAGTCATCGGGTTATGATGTAGACAAGCCCCCAGGATGAGTAACTCCTTGTGGATGGCCGCGATCTCCATGAGATCCTGCTCAAACGCCAGATTGATGTTCATCTGAGAGGACACCACCAGGTGCTTCCGCCTCTCCGGCGACTTCTGGCGGAGGGCAGCTGCCGCTGGACTGAAGACGGGAGCACTCACGTCGAAGTTATTCCTGAATGTCAGGGAGGACGGCCCCCCGGTCGCCAGGATTGCCCGACCCACGGCCACGTCCAACGTGCTGTTGTAGTCCGGAAGACCCCCTGGCACCATATTCAGGATCAGGTGGTTCTCCCCATTGTTCCAGAACTCTAGGGACTTCAACGACTGCGACGTCATCTTCAGGTCCAGGCGATTCTGGTTCAGGGTGTCCAAGGAGGGAACGAATAGACACGCCTCCTTGGGGTTTGGCGTGTAGAAGGGACTCGCGATTATCGCTGAGAGGTACTCGTAGTACTCCCTGGACATCGGGGGTGTTGACCTGCCTCCTGATGAGTCCCGGAAGGTCTTCGGGGGGTAGACGTACACCAGGAGCTTGTTACCCCGGAAGCCACATCTGTAGATGTTGAAGCAGGTGAAGTGGGTGCACGTGATGTTCGTGGTGGTCGTCCTCGGGGAGGTGGGGGACAGGCGCACTGTGGGCATCGTCGAGAGGTCGCCCAGCACCAGTCGCTGGTAGATTTGGTCGGACGAGGGGTGCGTCAGGGTCAGGATCTGGTAGGTGATCATCGAGAGGGTGAAGAACGCGAAGAAGAGGGAGATACCGATCACCACAGGACGGGAGGGCAGGGGGTGGGGGAAGGAAGTCATTTTTTGGGGGTTTTTGAAAATGGTTTTATTTATTCTGGGTCTTTCGGGAGGGGTGACTCACTTTTTATAGACTGCGGGGGAAATTTCATATTGAGTTTTTGATTGTTTGGTGGCAGATTGGGTATTCGAAGGATTCACTCGATTTTAGGGGGAATTGGCGGCGATTTAATCCTTTCGGGGGCTTAATTTTGGACTTTTGATTTTTTGAGGTCTTTATTTGCTTTCTTTTCAATGGTTGTGGGGGTTTGAGGTCTAGGAACAAACTCTTAATCTGGCACTTTGGTCGACAGTTTTAGGTAACTCCGAACAAGGTTTTAAGGGCATTTGATTTTTCGAATTTGATCGATTTTTTTTATTTTTGGAGGGGGGGGGGAATATTTATGTTGAGTTTTTGGCTATGTTAGCTGTCAGATTATTCACTGGAAGAGGGGATTCACTTGATTTTATGGAGAATTAATGATAATTTTTACATTTTCAAGGTTTTAACGTTGTTTTTTAATTTTTTGGGATTTTTTTTTTCACTGTCTGAGGTGATCTGAGGCTCTTAGGTTGGAGATACACTTTTATATACTTTTGGAGCCGAGTTGTGACTGACAGGTTAGAGTGACGTCAGCTGATCAACTCCAAAGATTTTTTTTATCAAATTTTTATTTAATCGAAAAACGTGACTTTTAAGCCGAATATTTTTTATTTTTGAAGGGGGGGGGTGGTAATATTTATTTTGTGTTTTTGGTTATGTTATCTGTCAGACTATTCACTTGACTTTATGGAGAATCGACGATAATTTGTACATTTTCAAGGTTTTAATGTTATTTTTTAATTTTTTGGGATTTTTTCACCGTTTTTGAGGCTCTCAGGTCTAGGGATACACTTTAACTTTTGGAGCCGAGTTGTGACTGATAGGTTAGAGTGACATCAGCTGGATCAACTCCAAAGAATTTTTTTATCAAATTTTTATTCAATCGAAAAACGTGACTTTTAAGCCGAATGATTTTTTTAATTTTTCAGAAAGAGATTTCTTGTTTTTTTAGAATCAAGAGAATTGGTTTAGAGGTTTCATATTTAGTTTGTGACGAGATATATTTTTTTTTTATACAAAATAAATGGAGTATCAACAAAACATGACATAAAAAAGAAAGCTAATGATTTTAGAAGCTTCTGGGTTTTTTGCTGTAATTTTTCACATATTTTTCGTGACAATGTGGAGCGGTTCAGCTTGATGAATAGATCCGGATGACTATGGTGATATTGGCTGCATAAAATCTACCCCTCGACACTCCAGGGCGATGGAGACACCCACCGCGAAGACCCCGACGCTCTTAATAATCGACCTGCAATGGAAAATCAATCGTATTTCATTACAAAAAAAAATAACAAACATTTTGTTTTTAGTTTCTGATTTTTTTGAGTGGAGTGTGACGTCTTTGAGGTTATCCCCCACGTGATAAGGAAGTAAATAGTTATGGAAATGTTAAGAATAATGTTTACCACTTGAAGGGGTCGTAATAAATCCCTTTGATCACTCCCATTAGGCTTCCCATTGTTGCTATGGTATTTTTTTATCACTATCAACAGAAAAATTGGAGAGTTCTTCCTCTCCGCAAGGGTGGAATGAAGGTGAATTCTCATGAGCGGATTCGACCAATCAGGAGAGAGCCATTTTCAAAAATTGAAACAGAAAAAAATTCTTGAAGAATATTTATTCAGTTTAATACATCAATTTAGGGGAGGGTAGGGTAAAATGGACACTTTTGACTTTTAAAAAAATATCCATAACTCAGAAACAGATTTATCAATTGAGCTCACTCTCAGCTTATCACAAAGAGGAATCATTGTTTTTCAATTAAAAAATAAAATTATTACATTTTATAAATAATTCAACACATCATGAATATTTTAAAAAAAGTCCAAAGTGTCCGTTTTACCCTACCCTCCCCTAATTCTAATCATCGAAAGAAATGGAATAGATCCTCTCTTTGAATTCATGTACAGTTCAGTCACAAAGAAGAAATTCAATACCGAAGCGGTAAACCGGGTTAAGTTGATTTTGACTATTGGCCAATTTTTGGCGAATATCTCGGAATCTAAGAGAGATGGGAATTTTTTTGCCACGACCTTTTTTGTAGGGCCAACTGAGGGTTGTAAAAAAGGATGTGAGAACAATTTTGCTATCTCTCTTCAATTCCGAAATATTCATCAAAAACTGGCCGAAAGTCAAAATCGACTTAACCCGGTTTACCGCTTCGCTACTGAATTAAATATTTCAGCCAATTTCGCTTAAGGATGTACTACACCCTTTCAGCCAAAATTAACGTTTTTTTTCATTTTTCTGGCAAATTATTGATCGGGTTGACACGAAATAATATACCGTTTTTGCGTTTTATCATTATTGACCGAAAAGTTTTAGATAAAACGCAGGAAAATGATTGCACGATCATGAAATTTCGTGAGTCGTCAAGTAATGATACAACGCAAAAACGGTACACGGAGAGAAATTTTCTAGAAAAATTCTAGTACGAGTACTGGAAAAAATCACAATCCACCGGGTGTGAAAAATTTGAGTGCTGTTAGGGTAACATTTTTGGTATTTCTGATAAAATTTCTGGGGATTTCTGTGAAATTTTTACAGAAATACGGGGAAAAATTCCCGTTTTCTCCAATAAAATTTCTGGTGCCGGCACTGGAATTTTTTCCTGGCCGTCACTTTGCGCCTCTTTTCCCGTCCTAGCACTAGAATTTTTCTAACAAATTTCTCTCCATGTATATTTTTTCACGTCAATCCGATCAACAATTTACCAGAAAAATTAAAAAAACATGAATTTTGGCGAAAAGGGTGTAATCCGTCCTTAAGGGGAAACGGAACCCCTGTATCTACATGAATTTTTAGAATTGTGTTTTCGCTTATAGTTATAGTTATAGTTTATATCTATGAAATTCCTTTATCGACTCGATTATTGCATTCTTGAGTCCGTGAGGTAATAAAAAATAATAATTGCAGGAGAAAACACAATTCTCAAAATTCATAGAGAAACAGGGGTTCCGTTTCAAAAAAAATTTCTGTTCAAAATTCTTAATATTTTTCGAGGCCAAAGCACATTGATCTTCATCACCATCTGGAGATTAATATTTAAAGTTTGAAATTTGTTCTAAAACACTCTGTTCTTCCAAAAATGAGAGAAGACACGGAATAGATTACAAGAACCATGTGAATTTTTTTATTCAATTTATTTACAAGAATTCTAGATGATATATTTTGTATTTATCTTTATAAATCTCTGAAAGATGACTGTTATAGAAAATCAACAGTTTCAATAATTGATTGGTTTTTGTAGCCGATGGAATTTCCAACAAAAAACAAATCATCATCGATATGATTTCGGCTTGAACGAGACGTGAAGCGTCGAAGCTTCTGACTTATTCTGTTGTTTCACCACTTCCCAGTTGAATTAAAGGGAGACGACTATGAGTTTTAAACGTTTTAAAATTCGTGGGATATTGGAGTGAGATTTCTCATGCATTGAAGATCCATTATATATGTCTAAAAACGAATAATTAGCGTACAAAATTAATTGTTTATTGTTCGTTTGCCCCACAGACGCTTAAAATTTTAAAAATAGTCCAGGGCCTGGAATTTTTTATTAAAATTTTTAAAAAATTTGTACAAAAACAATTACGAATGATTTTTTTCAATTTGACTCCTATACAGCCAATTTAGTTTTGTTTAATATAAAAATGTGCGTCATTTATATAAAATGGGTAGAAAAATAATCCTTAAAATATTGAAAATATATTCTCGATTATTTCAGAAATATTTTTTGGGCTATTTTACATGAATGGTGCAATTTTTTATCAAAATAATAACGAAATTAGCTGTGTAGGAGCTGAATTTCAAAACACTAATTCGTAATTCAGTAGGAAAGCGGTAAACCGGGTTAAGTCGATTTTGACTTTTGGTCAGTTTTTGATGAATATCTCGGAATCTAAGAGAGATAGCAAAATTTTCTTTACGATATTTTTTATGACCCTCAATTAGCTTTATAAAAAAGTTAATGACAACAATTGTTCTATCTCTTTTAGATTCCGAGATATTCGCCAAAAACTGGCCAATAGTCAAAATTGACTTAACCCGGGTTACCGCTTCGCTACTGAATGGTTATTGCACATATTTTCACAGAAAATTTGAAAAAAAACCTCTGTAGCCCAAAAATTGGAGGCCCTGGCCTATTTTTAACATTTTAAGCGTTTGCGGGGTGTACGAACAATAAACAATTAAGACCTCACTAATTATTCGTTTCTCCATTCATAATCGATCTTCAATGTATTGAGAAATCTCATTCCAATAGCCCGCGATTTTTAAAACTCCTAGTAGTCTTCCGTCAAATTAATTAATCGATAGTTATCGAATTGTTTATAATTCTGTGTGATGCGATGGGAATTTTCGGAGGACCGCGACGTACAGATTGTAGAATGCGTAGACACTGGCACCAACAACAACAACAAAAACAACACTGAAGATGAGGGACAGGAAGTTGCCGTCGATCAAGTCTGTTCTCAGTCGTTCGTTCTTGGCGGCAATGTCACCGAGGGTGTAACCACTCTGTTCCTGCATCATCTTCTTGACGTGGGCCAGCTTCTCCCGGAGCTCCTCCACGGACTCCGAGATGTCCTCGATCTCCTCCTCAGCGTCCAAGTCATTGATAACTGCGAGAGGAAAATCAATTCTCATTCAATCGTCTGGTCCGCGTGGAGATATTTTCACTCGGGGCTTTGGGTTTTTATTTTTACTCACTCTTGTGCTTGCGGTAGCAGACGTGGCTCGGGGAGACCATTGTGATGCCACGATGATGTATGAAAGTTTTGGAGAGCAATCACGAGAGTATTGATCATTGGCTCCAGCCTCTCGGGCTGCGCGCAGACTCCCACACGGTCCAGACAACTTCCGAGGGCATGATTTTTTAGGGATCAATTGTCAATGGCTCTGGCATTTGCTGGGGATACGGAAAATTAGGGGAGCAATTTTTTTTTTTCAATCGTAATGGCCATTTCAGTAGCGAAACGGTAAACCGGGTCATGTCGATTTTTATTTTTGGACAATTATTGATCAATATCTCGGAATCTGGGAGAGGTAGTAAAATTTTTATTATGACCTTTTTTGAAACCCTTAAGTAGCTCTACAAAAAAGGTTGTGACAAAAAATTTCTATCTCTTTTAGGTTCCGAGATATTCGCCAAAAACTGGCGAATAGTCAAAGTCGACTTAACCCGGTTTACCGCTTCGCTACCGATTTTTTTCAGATGAAAATCAATTTGTTCTTGATTTTCATCTGAAAAATATTTTGTGAATATAAATAAATAGAATAGGGGAGGTTGGGGTAAAATGGACAGTTTTGATTTTTTTTAAAATGGTAATGACAGCTTCAAATGGTGATGAAATTTAATGATTTTTTTCAATGCAAATTTCTTGCCCTTTGGGATGAGCCTTAACTGTGCTCCATTGATAAATTTATTTCTAAGTTATGAATAATTAAAAAAAAATCTAAAGTGTTCATTTTGTACCCCACCCTCCCCTATAAATAAATAAATAATAAATAATATAAATACATATATATATATATATATATAATATAAAAATATCTTCTATTTAGTATTTTGAATTAATTGTGAGGGAGACAAAGAATTCAATTTCTATTCAATTATTTAACCAGAGATTCTTTTCAATAAAAAAAATATTAAATAGATAGATAGATAGATATTTATTGCATATACGAATACAAAGATTCAAAAATGCAGAGGTTCTGCTACAAATCAAGGGGTATAATAACCCTAGTCTGGTCACCTGACGGGAAAATGCGACTTTAGTCACCTTCGCGGGAGAGTGTCGCCATGTTATTTAGGCTCCAGCGTTGCCGAATCCATTCTACACATCCCGGGCACGTTTAGCGAGTTCCCAGCAACGTTGCGCAACAGGCAATTTCATTTAACACGGGAAAAAATTATTCACCTGTTGGAAATATTTTTTTTTCTCCCAGAATTAAGGATACAATAATGAGAAAAAAAATACTATAATTTTCCAGATACTTCAATTGACGAATTCAATTTTTCTCAAATTTTTCCGGTCAACCAGTCGATGGCAAGGTAAATAAAACGACGTGTTGCGGCGATTCCCTCGCATGGTGACCAGTCTAGGGTTAAAAAATCAAAAGGGGCCGTTTTACCTCATTTTCCGTTATAATTCATAATGAAATCCCTGGAAAAATAAATAAAAAAGAGTTTAGTCCAACCGATAAAATCAAACGTTCGCGGAAAAATTCAAAAAAATCTCTCGGCCGTATTCGCCACCGCTCGTGTTTCATCGGTCGTAGTCGTGTTCCCTCGTGTATTTTCTCACCCCTGACGTCAAAATGCAAGATGGCCGCCGTTATCGGAAATGGTGAAGTGTAGAAAGAAACTGGGCGGTAGTGATAACCCGTAGGTGTGTCAGTTCGGTGGTTGTTCGCGTTACTTTTTATTTAATTAACGAACCCATGAGTGTGCGGCCCGTAACAATTGATCGTAGACCCACCGATTTGTTTAAACAATAAAATAGAGTAATTTTATGAGACACCGGAGGGGTAAAAACACCCGTGCGACCGCAAAAACCTCGGGCAATCGAGGCTCCGCAAGCGAATTCCAAGAGAAAAACGTCGATTTTCCCGTGAATTTGAGGCCCCTAAATCATTTTAAAAATATTATAAATCGTTAGTTAGAGAATTAGAGCTCCGACAATTGAAACAATTGAAGTGACACCCGGTGGATTAATTGGAGTGAGTGAGAAAAATCGTTCGAAAGCCCTGGGGTCATCGGAGCTAGAGTATTTAATTGAATTCATTGATGAGTGCCCGAAAAATCCTGAAAAAAAAGAACCTAAAAATGAATGGAAAAGGAGTGGATTTGAGGTGTCCCCGTGAGAAAAGCCGATCGGAGATGTCAGTGGGTTACCCGGAGGCGGCATGAGACACCGGAAATATCGTACATTGCCTCTGAAAATGTTTTTATTTAGAATCTGAGGAAAAATGAGATAGAATAAGAATTAGTGGTGCAGTTTGAGTTGTGAATAAATCGTTGGATAAATTTGATTCGATAGCGAGTGTCAGTGGCGCACTGGGCGCACTAGTAAAATGTGGAATATGATGTGTGATGTGATGCCAACAATTGCTGAGGACAGCATTAGTCAGAGGAGTTCACAGTTCTCCGGGGAAGATGCTAATTTCGAGCAGCTCATGGTGTCGATGCTGGATGAGCGGGATAAGCTCATGGATTCACTCAGGGAGAGCCAGGAGAGGCTGCAGGAGGCTGAGGCAAGGCTGCAGGATGTCGAGAAGGAGAGGGATGCGCTCAACCGACAGATGAATGCTAATATTCCTCAGGTATTTTGGGGTTTTGAGTTTTAGGGGATATTTTTTTTTATTAAGCTTCCGAACCCCTTTTGGGCTCACTCAGCTACCAGTAAATAGGGGAGGATGGGGTAAAATGGACACTAGACTTTTTTTGAATTATTCATAACTCAGAAACAAATTTATCAATTGAGCTCAGTTTAGGCTCGTCACAAAGAGAAAGAGTTGTTCTTCGTATTGGAAAAAAAAATTGAATATCATCAAAATTTCAACCCCTCATTGACATTTAAAAAAAAGTTAAGTGTCCATTTTACCCCAACCTCCCCTATATTACAACCTCCCCTATATTACATTATAGTAAAGTATATATAAATTGCAATAGCTTTTTACTGTTAATTATATTTTAATTAGTTGGTGTCGTAGTTAAACGTATTTTATATCTGAATATCTCAGCTTTTTAGGTATTTTCAAATCGCTTTAATGTCCTTCCTTCTGGGGTGTTTTAGGATGTCTTGAATATTCGGTGGTCTGGGGTTACTCTTGCTGATTTCTTTGAGGAGAATTTTTCTTTCATTGACATGGTCGGGACAGTTCCAGAATACGTGGTCTAGGTTTTAGGGGATATTTCGAGTATTGGATGGTTTTCAATGAATATCTCGGAATCTGTGGCAGATGGCTAAATTTTTGTTATAACCTTTTTTGTCGCCCTCAAAACGCTGTACAAAAATGGTCATCATAAAAATTTCGATATCTCCGTTAGATTCGGAGATATTCCTCAAAAACTCCGGTTTAACGGTTCGCTACTGAACTGGGGAATTGTGGAAATTGTTGAGGGAACAGGCGGATTGTCAGGAGAAGGAAGAGAGGGGAGCGCATTTATTTCATGTTCGGGGTGATCAACAACACCTGAGGACAATCTCGAAATATGGGCAGAGTAACAAGTTTTAGTTTTCATGTTCAATGACGGGGGATTACAAATATCGATTTCATGGGAGATACCGAGTATCGCAAACAGGGCTCACTGAGGAAACGAGATTACTGTGCATACTGCATGACGAATTTTTAGTCAACAATGGATCAAATTCTATCGTGCAATAACTAACTTAATCATTAATTTTGCAATTCAGTGTTCAATGAATAATCCAGTTGTCTCTGAACATTTCCCACTAATTCCGTCTTATTCTCGACATGAATAATGATCTCCACATTTCAAATGTCTAATCATCTTCAGCTTCTATGCCCAGAAATGCAATTTTTTCAGCTTGCAATTTATCACTAATAGGGGAGATAGGGGGCAAAATTAAACAGCGGGGCAAAATGAAACAGTAAAAAAAACTATGACACAATTCAAGCAAAAAAATTTTTTTCTTAAATATATATATTTTTTTTGTTAACTTTTTTTCATCCTCGGGAGTACAGATGAGAATAATAATTTTCCATTCAGTAGAATTGAGAAGTTTTGATGGGCAAAGGTTTCGTCAATGGTTTATTCGATTGAAATTCAGCATCACATTTTCCATTTTCCCCCTCTCGATCTCCCCCTGGGCCTTACTCTGGACTTTGAATTTTACTGGTTCATTTTCTTTTCAATTAATCCACTGACAAAATCTTCGCCCGTCAAAACTTCTCAATAATTTCCCATTCTAATGAATGGAAAATTATTATTCTCATTAGTACTTCCGAAAATAAAAAAAGTTAATAAAAAAAAATTTAATAATAAAATTTTTTGTTTGCTTGAATTGCGTCAAACAGTCGTTTTTTTTATTGTTTCATTTTGCCCCACTCTCCCCTATATAATATCGGTTTATCGATAATATTTCCTGAGACCATTTATATAGATTATGAACTTCTCCACAAAAATTTCGAGACATTTTTTGGTAAATCTCTTCTTTGAAAAAATGGAGCAAACATCGGAGTGGATTGAGTACTGATTAATCGGGAGAGACAAGGGGCCAATTTCCCACTGAATTTATCTAGGATTTTACGAGCTTTCGGGTTTAATCTTGAATAATTCGGGATTTATGAGGTTTTGAGATTATAGAAATGTCAAAAACGCTTTTTTTGAGAAATTTAATTCCATAGAAAACTCCCAAAAAAAGGATTTTATCAAAAATATTTACAGAGAATATTTGTAGCCTACGAAATTGTCAACAAAAATATCTTGTAACATTTCCTAAAAAATCCACTAGTTCTCGAGATATCTGTGAATGCAATTCAGCGTTCAATGAATAATTCACTTGTCTCTGAACATTTCCCATTAATTCCCTCTCATTCTCGACATGAATAATAATCTCCACATGTCAAATATCTAATCATCTTCTTTCTTCCTCTATGCCTGGGAATCAATTTTTTTTAGATTATGGAAATGTCAAAAAGGCTTTTTTTTGTGGAATTTACTTCCATAGAAAACAATGGATGTTTACATTATTCGACAAATCTATTCGTTCTTGAGATATTTTCAGAATATTCTAGAGATTTATTTGGTCCT